GGGTACTGGAAGGCCACTATAAGGTCTCCCCAGAGCCTTCTCTTCTCCAGGCTGAACAGCCCCAACTGTCTCAGCCTGTCCTCACAGGAGAGGTGCTCCAGCCCTCGGATCATCCTCGTGACCCTCCCCTGGACTTGCTCCAGTAGGTCCATGTCCTCCTTATGTTGGGGGCCCCAGAACTGGAAGCAGTACTGCAGGTGGGGTCTCACAAGAACAGAGTACAGGAGGAGAATCACCTCCCTCGACCTGCTGGTCACGCTTCTCTTGATGCAGCCCAGGATACGGTTCTTTTCCGGGCTGCAAGTGCACATATTAAGGAAAACATGAATGAAAACTGTGTCTTAAAAGTGCACAAAACCATTTGCAAAACCAAGGAGTAGAAGTCAGAGGCTTTTCAATGTTAAACTTCAGCTACAGTTTGCAAGGAAGCCTTTATATTATTTCCAAACCATGGCAGTTTTTTCTTAGACATATGCTGTTGTACAAAATGATCGAAATATCTGAACCACTTATATAAAACTTCAGTTCATTTCCCACCTCAATGGGCCAATAATCCATAGAAAGAGACAGAAATATTTTTAATAGCATTTTAAAGTTTTAAATTAGATAGTTCAAGAACTTCTCTTTTACATAAATACAATCCAATGCAACTGTGAATCTGTCTACCAGTAGCAAAACACCTTGCACACAGTTCACACAAGCGTGCTGAACAGGACAGGGCATGTTTTATTGGTCTATTGATACACATCTTCATTGCTTCTGGAGGAACAAGGGTGTCTGGAAACGGGCTGACAAAGCATGTCACTGACTACCTAATACTTTTATTGTGACACTGTAAAAAAAAGCAACACACGATTTAATTTTTAAAAAGTTCGGAAAATTATAATAAATTGAAATATCTCTCCACATCTGTTACTTTTAAACCTCTCTGGAAAAGCTTAGTATTTAAAAGAACAAAAACAGTAAACAAACAACATTGGCCTTCTTTCTAGCTATGTTTTTTTTAATTTCCCCTCTGACACATTTACCCATTCTTTTCACAGATGCTCTTTACTCAAATTCTGTATTTTTTGCTTCTCTTTTGCCTTGCAACAGAACTAAGCAACAAAAAAATAAAAGCAGACTCTGCCTGCTGCCCTGCTAGAAGGTGTCAAAATACATTTGATTTACCTCCTATGGTAAAATTTACAAGCAAATCCTTTACTTATAACAAAGTCACAGCAGTCCAGTTGATGGACACGTGCAATATCCAAAAAATTAATCCTCAAAGCAGGACCGGTGACCAAAAATCAAACAAGAACTGGTACAACTCACTACATGTAGTCTATTTTGCCAGGGAGGGGAAAAAAAATATTTAAAAATCCTATATTGTTCTAAAATAAATACCTGTTAATTCACTAATTGGTACAATGAGTACTTGCCCCTAATGCATTTATTTTTTAAACTTGTTTTACATTATTACTTATACACAATTTTCACACAATTGCATTGACAATTTCACAAAAACCTAACAACTCTTCTAGCCATCAGTGGAACATGTTGGAAATTGAACTGTCTTATGTAACACTCCTATTCTGACACTAAAAATGAGCTTTGGTAAGGCACATTTATCGTCAGCTAGATATTCTGAAGGTGAAGAAAAAACACAACCCAGGGCAGCTTCCCATGAAAATCCCTAATACTTTAAGATTACAAGAATGGTCTGGCAGGTAAAGCACAAGAGCTCAAGTTCTGCTCTCGATTCTGCTCTTTGACCTTGAACTTCCTTGTATCTCTCATCTCTGCTCAGTGAACTGACAGGGATGTTAAAGCATTCTTCATTAATATTTGTTAAATGATCTGGGATATTAAGACAGGAGGCTTCTAAAAGTGTGACATTATTCTGTGAGTTAGCAAACATTTTAGAAGCCCTCAGTCTCCTAGAAGTGGGAAACAGAGACTCAGTGCATGTTTTTCTGTTAAAAATAGATACCATGATCATGCCTAAGGGCCAGATTAGACAACTTTAATCTTTGCAGTCACTGAAGGCACAATTTTTTACTCCCAAATTACACCTAGACTTAAGGAAGGTAGACGGGAACTGGGAATAGTGTCTTTTACTCACAGAATTTTGGGTTGTGAAGGGATTTAACACACAAAGCTGCAAAGGTTTATCACATCACTCTTTTCTGCTCCATCTTACAGTCCAAAATTTTAGCTTAAGCCACTAATGTAACATCTTAAACCACAGCAGCTATTTGCTACTTTGAATGTAAGTGTCAGCCCTAACCTTCAGGCTGTCTTTGCAACCAAAGCCTACGCTTTGTAGTTTGGATTGTCACTTCAAATAAAGATGAAAAGTTAATTTATCTTTATTTTCCCTGTTTCACACAGATCTAATGACTCACTATGCAGACAAGATGAAAAATGACCAAACAGAATGTACTGAAATGGGATGGCTGTAGGATTGCATGTGGTTTTACAGAGAAAAAAAACTGGTAATGAGAGTTGTCATATAATTATATCCATTATATGTTCTCAGGAGTAAAAAAGGTCAGTCTTGTTAGGTCAAATGATTCTTTCAATTTTCCTACTTGGTCATCCAAACGAAGCAAGCTGAAACTTTTTTTTGGGGGGGTAAACATGAACTTAGGGTTTCAGAGAAGAAAAGTGAATTTTGCAGTTATTTTTGTCTAAAGTAAAAGATAAAGCTATCTAGGTAGACATATAGCAAAGTTCAAAACAACTTGGTGCTAAATTAGTCTATTTTATGGTACTGAGCAGCTTTCTAACAACTGCATTAAAGACATTTAACATATGAAGTACAGTTTTCCTGCCTTGGAAAAAAAAAAAAAAAAAAAAAAGGTGAGAAGATATCCTTCTGCTTTTCCAAATTTAAGACATTCCCAGCAATGAAAATGCCATTACTAACATCCCTATGCTTTGCTCTTAAAAACAAATTAAGTTTGACATTTGAGATATAGTTGCAGAGTAGATTAAAGCATTTGTCTTACCTCTAGGAAATGCAGTTCACATTTTTGTTTCAGTCAAATTGCAGTTAGGGATGGAGGATGATGCACAAAGGATACAAGTAAGACAGATCAACAACTGACCAAGTCCATTTGGCAATTTTTGCTAAAGAGAAGTTCAGGACACGAATGGGACACTGCCTCACAAGAATAGTGTGAGGAAAGCAGCAGAGATAAGTCTCATACACAGCATGGAACCAAATGTCTCAGATCACAAGATAAAAAAATTAAAGTAGATCCCAAACTTGTTCCCCTTAGGAAGGGTATATTGTACTTTCAACTCTCCTTAGACAGAAAAAGTCACTGAAACAAAGTAAGTCTTTGCTATTTGTAACTGGGCCAGCGCAGGGTAGACATCATGCAGCTGTACTTAGCTTATCTCACACTTCCCTTTCAACCTACACATGTGGAGTGCTTCAGTAACGCAACAGAAAATAAACAGAAAGACTAAGAAAAAGAAGATTAAGACCTTCTGTAGTGGCAGGAGCCCAAAAGAGTCCACAACATTCCTCATTTATACAGGGGTCATGGTTAAAATAAAATGCAGTTTCGTTGTTGAGATGAACTTGTAGAGCTTTACTTCTACACACAAAAGTAGGTTTTTATAAAATTATGATATATCTGGGATTTAGTTGTATTTAGAAACCTGCTTGAATATGGAAAATAAAATTTTAAACACTGTTTGCAAAAATCTCAAAGATGTCATCTATTTTAACATAAAACCCTGGGCACAGTGCTTGGGAGCAACCCCGAAGGCTGCAGTCTGTTTATCCACAGGTTAACCACAGCAGGTGCAGGAGGACCGCCAAGTTCCCAACATTGCTGCTGGGCTTCCACCCAGGGTCCCCTCCTGAGAGGTGCCAGAGGACAACTCTGTGCATGTCATCTCTGCCATTCCTCCTGGTGAGCCCGAAGCCCCAGGCGCCTCCCCAGCGTGCCATTACCACTTTCCTGCTAGAAGCTCTCACTTCCTCCGAGGGAAGAGCTCAGCTCATCAGCGTGATCGTTTCCTGCCTAACTAGTTTCAATCAAAATGAGAGGCGTAAGCTTAAACAAGGTTAGTTTTAGTAATATCTTTGCTGCTGCAGAGCAGGAGACACAGATAGTGACCACGGAGTCAGGGGTGCAGCAGCACCCTCCCTCCGGGGCCCAGACAGGGTTAGCTGATGGCACATCCACAGCTTGATAGTCTCTGCTAGTCCACTGTGGTTTGGCTAATGCAGAGCCATCAGGGCAGGTATCTGCTGTAGCAATAACCCACGGATCAGGGTTTCCTAATACTAAAGTATTAATTTTGCTACATACTGCAACATGACAACAGTAAACCAGAGCTGCAATCTAAATACATAAGAAATAGAAATTAATTCATGTATCTCGTCAATCTTCAAGCCATTTCACCTACTGAACGTTAAAAATTCAGGTCTCTGAGGCAAACTAGGCACGTGAGATAACGTCACTGTAAGTAAATCTATCTACCACAGAAGTAAATCTATCTACCACAGTGGATTTCAAGATAGATATTCACATATACACACTGCTCATCATTCCCGTACAGTGAAAATTTGCTATCATAACAGCTGTAGGTGTCATGGCAACTTCAAATTATCGATTTCTTGCACGTGGTAAGATACAGTCATAGCAAATGAAAGACAGAACACTTTTTTGCTTCAACACCCTGCCCAAGCAAGCCTACTTCAAGAAGTGTCTCTAGAAGTTTCCTTAAATATTCTAGTAAAGACAGAAATACCAAGATCTAATTTGACCAATGTTCATTACAGTTCTTGCCGAACAATAACACAGTGCATACATAATTGCCCCCAAAGAAAACAAGATTATTTGGTGTGAAACACTGGCAGCTGCTGTCTCTGCTCACGCCACCTCCTGCAACGTGTGCCCCGTGACTTTTGTTGCACAAGAGTACAGTGCTACACTCCTACCGCTTCAGGACAAAACTCATGTTTCTACTATCAAAAGGTAAACACTCAGAAGAAGAAAGGACCTGATACAAGTTGAGGATGAAGCATTTTTTAAACACATTTGGGCTTGGAAATGAGAGATTTAACATGAAAATATTAATGATGTTGACAACGTGGTGATAAATGCCTCTAAGAGAACCTTGGCTAGAAACCACTGGAAAAGTGTTTGCAAAGCCCATAGTAAGACATACCTAGAGCTCCTGGTAATGACACATAACAGTATTTTATTAAGCATTCACAGAAATAAAATAGTCCCTCCTTGAGCATTTCTAGAAACTTCCAGAGTTCACGGGTGTCATAGGGATGTTACTGCTGAAATTCACTGGGACTGCAGCGAATTCTCTTCCTCCCTCTCCCTCCTCCTTTTAAAAAGTCATCATATTTATTTGTAGTCATACATTAATACCACCAAACTTCTTGAGTATGTAAAACTACTGAAATTCTTACCTCAGATGATTTTGAGTTTTCATAATATATACCTTGAACTAAGTCACCAATAGCACTTGAAATGAGCTCCACAACCTGTAAAAGAAAAGGAGAAAAAGAAAAGGAGAAAAAGCTAAACACGGCTGATTATCACCAAATTTACTAACAAAGCTACTGCCTCATTTCCAGAAATATAAACAACCATAAGTTTCCTTGCAGAAAGCTTGTTGTGAAAGACTGCAGGATTTACTGGGATATATTCTGCACAACCATGATCCTGTGTCTCTGCTAAAACCTGTACTACAGTAACTCTTCTATCAAAGTTTTAAGTTAATATAAATGAAAAACAAGACTTTTTTCTTTTTTCTCCTGAAGTGTGAACTATGGAGTGTATTCTCACAAGGATGTTCACAGAACTAATAAATCCCAGTTCATGAATATGAGACAGTACCTCATCTGGGCTTTGTTTTGTTTTGTTTTTTTCCTGCCAAGTAAATACTCCACAATACCTCTCATTGGGAGCTGTTAAAATTCTAATCTTTGTGGCTAATACAAAAAAGTCAGAATCCATAGAAAGGTAACCTTTCAAATGTGATCATTTGGTATTCGGGTGCCCTGGGAATGCACTGTGGATGTATTTAGTGCATGGCCTGAGGCTCAGCTGTACCACATACACTGAAAGTCTGCAACACGGGAATGTTTAAATCAGATTTATCAATCTGTATTATCTTCAGGGTTCAGACTTTTTATTTTATTCAAGTGAAGCCTAAAAATCTGAACTTGATCCAGAATGTAAAACAAGCAGTCCACGGTCTCCATGGAACTACTGTACAATTTAAAGTCATGCACATGAACTGTCTTAATTGGAACAAAATACTCAGATTTATCGTAAAATTAAATGCAGGCATTTCAAATAAGCACACCTTAAGGCTACCCCTTCAGTTGCTCACAAAGTTTTAATTTCTTGAATGTTTAATTTCCTATGCATATGAGTGTATATCTGATTCCTCTTTTTGCTTCCTAAAATTCAATGTAGTTCTTATTGAATTAAAAGCTTTAGTTTCAATTTTTATCATTCTTGTAACTGAAGACAAGTCATCAAATGATAAAACCCCTAACAGAAAGACAATTTAACATTTAGGCATACTTTATTTTATAATAAACCCACATTTGTGTGCCAGTTTTGCGTACTAGCAGAAAGGTTGTGTTTTCTTTTTTTTTTTTAAACACGGCTTCATATACATATTCATATACACAGAGCAAGTGCTAACTTTAGAAATGGTGCTGATTAAAAGTCATGTTTTTTTCTTGAAATGCATATGGGTTAATTTGCAAGACCTATAAAAACAGTCTAAAAAAAATTAAAAAAAAGAAAAAAAATCGCATCGCCCTTTAGGAAACTCGATACCGAAGAAATATTGTAGCAATATGAGCTGCAGAGGAACTGAAAGGACAATGATCCTACAGTGTTACCAGATGTGTTGAGTTATTTAAGTGGGGAAGAGAGAAAATGAGGGGTCTTTTTTTTTCTTTTTTTCTTCCCCCTACTCTCTTTTTATTTTAAGGTATCAGATAAGGCCTATTCCCAAATCCAGGAGGATTGAGTATCGCCAATAGGTCTATGAAAGTCTGTAACTAAATGCCCAGGATCAGATTGTATTACAGTTTGTACAAGCAACATCCCAAGATTCTTCTGATGGCTAGGACACATAATACAGATCAATCACTCACTAAAAAATGTTATGGTTTGTGAAATGGTCTGAGCTCAGAGACCTACACTGGTAATACGAAGAGGAATTTACAAAGACACTGAGTCCTACTCTAAATGTCAAAGTGATAGTATGAACTTTTAACAATGCAGCTGGCTCTGGATAACCAGACCTTTTCCTCTCTCGCCTGAAACTCTAGACTGAGCAGGACCCTGTTTTGGGGTTTCTTTTTCCATCTCTCCTCTCCCTTTTTAGTGCAACCCTACTCTCAAAGGCAATTTTAACTGACTTAAAACAATCTTGGTGAAACATTTGTGAACAATTGCACCTCTTCCTCTTACAGTTTATAAAACATCTTAGGAGAATTATACATGCACTGTTTTATAAGAAACCATATATTAAATACCATTAGGCCCTTCGTGACATATTGAACAATATATGTTAGTGAGAATTTAATATTAATATTACCTCCCTTCTTTCCAAATATCTCATCTTTTTAAAAAATATCATTTTTCTAAGGTAAATGCAAGACCATACAGATCACTACCAGGAATGAAATTCTAGTTTCAAGAGCACAGTGGGACACTTGCATGAGGCTCTGTTACTTCATCAACCCTTAATCCAACCTATGAAAAGCATCTGCTGCATAACATCAACTGCCTGAGGTCCTGAGCACTGGGGAAAGCAATGAAAAATGAGGAAAACAGGTAATTTTCCTTTGTATCACAAACTGACATAGAGGAAGAAAAATTATCACAGATTCAGTAGTATTCATGCAGTCAATGATACACTGACTAGTTCTTATGCAGCACTTTTCATCAGAAAACTGAAAAGCAATCAACATCCACTGTAGAACTTACTTCCTGTTTTCTACAGGGGGAAAACTGTCAGGGAACTGGTTTTCCCCCAAAATCGTGCAGCATGCCAGTGAAAGGGCAGAAAACAGTATTCAAGTTGTCTCTGTTCTCATCGGTGCCTTTCTACCTGACCAGTGCCCTGTTCCACTTGCTGACATTTCTGAGAAGCAAGTTTGAAGAGCAGGAAAGGAAGATGAAAAATCAAGTGTTCCCAAATGCTTTTCTTCTCTTCTCATTTGAAGGTTGAGCTCCATTTTTAAACAAGTTCAAAGACAGGGAAAGGGAAGAAAGAACTGCCAGAATTAGTGCTTGAAAGCAACAGCGTCTCAAAAAGAGACCAAAGGCAGACTACTCATAATCTCTCTTCCCACTATTTTTCTACTCCTCCAGACATTTTTGAGAAGTCTCTTACATACTCGAGATGAGCAGGAATAATGTCATATTGACAAAAAACCCAAACTTCCAATCTATTTTTCATTTTCCACTCAGTATCAGTGTCTTCCAAAGCATTGTGTTTTTCTGGCCCCCAGGAGCATTCACAGGCCTAGGAGCAACCCAGGGCATGACCATGTCCTTGCAGGTGACAAGTGAAAGCTCATGTAAATAATTTCACAACCTTTAGACACATGTTCTGCAACAGTTCTGCAAGGGTCTGTGTTGTTTTGGTTTTTTTTCCTAAGGAGGTATTACTTCTACACCTTTTGTGGAGATGTGATCTCTTTGGCTTTTAAAAGGACAACACAAAGGCCATCAGTTTACAATCATAGAATAGTTTGGTTGGAAAAGACCACCTAGTCCAACCATAAACCTAGCATTGCCACGGTCACCACTAAAGCATGTCCCCAAGTACCACATCTACATGTCCTTTAAATACCTCCAGGGATGGTGATTCCCCCACTTCCCTGGGCAGCCTGTTCCAATACTTGATAACCCTTTCAGTGAAGAATTTTTTCCTAATATCCAATCTAAACCTCCTCTGGTGCAACTTGTGGCCGTTCCCTCTTGTCCTATCACTTGTTATTTGGGAGAGGAGACCAACACCCACCTCACTACAACCTCCTTTCAGGTAGTTGTAGAGAGCAATAAGGTCTCCCCTCAGCCTCTTCTTCTCCAGACTAAACAATCCCAGTTCCCTCAGTCGCTCCTCACAAGACTTGTTCTCCAGACCCTTCACCAGCTTCGTTGCCCTTCTCTGGACACGCTCCAGCAACTCAATGTCTTTCTTGTGGTGAGGGGCCCAAAACTGAACACAGCACTCGAGGTGCAGCCTCACCAGTGCCCAGTACAGGGGGACAATCACTTGCCTACTCCTGCTGGACCTCACTATTTCTTATAGAGGCCAGGATGCTGTTGGCCTTCT